TTAGAAGAAAGAAGGGTCAAAATTGGGTGTCAACAACATTCTTGTAGCTCCACGTCTCCTCTACATAGCACAATAACACTGGCTCTGTCAGAGTTTTGGCCAATGGAAGCCTTGTAGAAACCATAGTTATCTATTTTTGAGGGAAGGGAAGTGAGGAGTGTGTTTAGATTGCTCTTGTAGATACTATAAAGACTGAATGTGTGCTGAAAAGAGTATATTTGTTAATGAAGGCAGCAAGGTATTAAATAGAGTTACAGGGAAAATAATAAGACTCCTAAACGAACTAAACTAAAGTAATCTAAATAAATAATAACTGTTGAATTAGTAATGCAATCCTAATACGATTAAACTACTGATCCTAATACGACTAAGCTACTGAGTGATGTCCTCACGTCATATGTTCTAATACGCCCCCTCAAGTTAGGCGATGAGTCACCAAGCCTAACTTGAACAAATTAGACTCAAAAGCAGATTTAGGAAGTGCCTTGGTGAGAGTGCCAGCAATTTGATCAGCGCCATGGACATGAACAACACGAATCCTTTTGATGTCAACATAATGGCGAACAAAGTGAAAGTCCACGGCAGCATGCTTTACACGGCTATGGAGAACAGGATTCTTGCTCAAGAATGTGGCTCCAAGATTGTCACAATAAATTGTGGGTAGCTGATGTACTGGAAAATCCAGCTCATTTAGGAGATTGGTGACCTATAAGGTTTCAGAAAGTGCATTAGCTACAGCCCTATATTCAGACTCAGTGGAGGAGCGTGAGACAGTATTTTGCTTCTTTGAGGACCAACTAATCGGATTGTGACCAAGAAATAAGATGTAACAAGATGTAGAAACTCTGTCAACGATGTCCCCACCCCAATCTGTATCAGAGTAAACATGTCGATTGAATTCATCAATAAGAGTAACGCGTAGGCCAAGTTGAATGGTACCACGTAGGTATCGAAGAACATGTTTTACAGCCTTCCAGTGAAGGTCGGATGGTGCCTGCATGAATTGTGAAAGCTTGTTAACTGCAAAGGCAATGTCTGGTCTAATGAAGCATAAATATTGAAGCCTACCCAAGACTCGGCGATAACGTGTAGCATCAGTCAAGTGATTTCCATCAGACAAGGTGAGTAACTCAGATGCACTCATTGGCGTGTTAACACTCTTGCAGTCAGTCATTAGCTCATCATTTAAAATTTCATTCACATAATTTGCTTGGGTGAGAATTAAACTGTTAGAGTTGTTTATCACTTCAACACCAAGAAAATAGTGAAGATTACCTAAATCTTTAATAGAGAACTTAGAAGCAAGGGAAGTGATAACCTGATTGACACTTAAAGTATTGCTCCCAGTGATAATAATATCGTCGACATAGACGAGGACGAACAATGTATCACCTACACCATGTCTGACTAGTAGTAAGGCATTAGATTTTGTCTTAACAAAGCCTATAGATGAAAGATAACCCGTGAGGGCATTGTACCATGCCCGAGGAGCCTGTTTCAAGCCATAGATCGCCTTTCGCAGCCGACATATATGCATTGGTTTGTCATCACTAGTAAACCCCGGAGGTTGTGCCATGTACACTTCCTCTTCCAGGTTGCCTTGGAGGAAGGCATTATGGACATCCAACTGGCGAAGAGGCCAGTTGTGACGAAGTGCCACAGAGAGGACGATGTGAATTGTGGTGGGTTTGACGACTAGGCTGAATGTGGCATGAAAATCAATGCCCGGCCTCTGAGTAAAGCCTTTTGCAACCAGGTGCGCTTTGTAACTGTCGATTGACCCATCAGCATTTCTCTTGATCCTGAAAAGCCACTTGCAGGATACAATGTTTTCGGTCGGGTCAAGAGGAACAAGTTCCCAAGTCTGATTTTTAATTAAAGCATCAAATTCATGTTTCATTGCATAACGCCACTCGGGATGTTTTTGTGCTTGTTTGACATTAGTGGGTGTGACAGTGGGGTTCAATTTGGCTAGGTAATCAAAAATCTGTTTGGGTTTGGTGATATTGTTTTGGGATCAGTGACAGCACGGGTAGGAAGAGACGGACATTGAGGCGGTGAAGGAGCGATTTCCAACTCGAGGATAGGACAGGTTGGTTGAGGAGCCATGGGTGTTGGTGGGTTGGTGTTTCTACGTTGATAGACACGGAAAGAAGACAAGCTGCTTTGTGTGTTGGTTGGGATCGGCGTTTGTGAGTTTGTAGGGAGGTGTGGTAGTGCTAAATATTGGGCAGTAGATATAGAAGAGGGGTTCTGGGAAGTGGGAATTATTAAAAATGATGAAGATAAAAATTTACCTGGAGAGGGAGGAGTTGCAAGAGGTGAATCTATTGCGTCTGCTGTTAGTGCATTGTCGGATAATGACTGTGAGTTTCAGTTGTCGCCGGATTGGGCTGGAGATGAAGCAGACGGTGATTGGGAAATCTGGAATTGTGTTTGCTGCTATTTCTAATGGAGTTGGCAGATCAGTAACTATGGGAAGTTTGGGTGTGGGGTTCGACGAACTTGGCATTGTTGTTTTTGCCCATTCTAGGTGAGCTGATTTAATGGTAGTATTGGCGAACAATGTCTTAAATGGAAATACATCCTCAACGAATCGCATATCTCGGGATAAGTACTCCTTTGCAGAAATTGGGTCAAAACACTGGTGACAGTGATGGGATAATGAGAAACCAAGATAGACACATGGGGTAGATTTTGATTCAAGTTTTATTTTTGGAGTATGGTTTGAGCCATGGATAGCATAAACAACCAAAAATCCGTAGGGAGTTATAATCAGGTGATTTTCAAAGTAATCTTTGGAATGGGGATTGATTATCTAGGTGAGAGGTTGGGAGACGATTGATGAGGTAGACAATGTGATGGCATGCAAAAGACCAGAATTGGGGTGGGAGGGATGCCTCATGTAAGAGTGTTCTTGCAGTTTCGACGATATGACGATGTCGTCGTTCTACAAGTGCAACTCGTTGGGGTGTATAGGGTGGGGTGAAGAGGTGTTGAATGCCGTGAAGTGAAAGATAGGAGTCAAGACTTTTATATTCACCTCCGCCATCAGTATACAATGATAAAATTTTGGTGTCAAAATGTTTTTCCATTATAGGATAAAATTTTTGAAAGATCTTTTTAACTTCACTTTTCTTTGTTAGTGTATAGAGCCAAGTGTACTTCGTATATTGATCAACAAAATACAATAATACAACTTTTTGTCAAGAGATAAGACTGGTGATGACCCCCATAAATCACTAAAAATAATTTGAAGTGGTTTAGAGCTAGACAGTGATAATTGGGTAAAAAGGATGCCGATGAGCTTTATTAGATAAAACAAGAATTACAATGAAAGTTTTTGTCTCGCTCATGAAACGGTAGCGAGAATTTATTTAAAATAAAACCTAAGAACTCTAGAGTGAGGATGTCCAAGACGTTGGTGCCAAGTAGTGAGAGCATTGGATGTGGAGGTAATATGAGCTTGGGGATGTGAGACAGGCCACTCATACAGTCCATTGTTGGTCCGACCGTGCACCAGTGGCTTCCGCGTTTGCAGATCCTTCACAACAAAGTTAAAAGGGAAAAATTCAATAGACTTAAGATTGTCTTGACAGAATTTAGAAACCGAAAGAAGCTTGCGTTTAATGGAAGGTGCACACAGAGTGTGGGTTAGCTTAAAAACATTATTTGATGCATTTAATTTAGTAGAACCAGTGTGAGAGATAGGAATTTTGTTACCATCACCCATGGAGACATCCTCATTACTGTGGTATGGTTATAGGTTATACGGCTCTATTGTGATGCGATGGGTGGCTCCTGAGTCAACTATCCAGGGGTTGGTGTCCGCTGTAAACCCAACGGCATAGTTGGCTTTTGCTTCAAAGTGATTATGAGACTTCAAGCGGCAAACATTGGCAGTGTGGCCAATTCTATTACATAGTTGGCATCGAGTAACGCCGTTCGGATTGGAATTGGACTGCCATTGTGGTGGAGTGCTTGGACGCGAATTTTGGCGCCATTGTTGAGAGTTGTTGGTTTGTCTATGATTGTTGCGATTAGTGGAGTTGAATTTGGTGGGAGTAGCAACTGCAGCAGTGATGGAACTAGGTAGTTTCTTAGCATCCTCGTGGCGAAGGAAGAGTTCAAAGTCTAGTAGCTTTTCAAACAGTTCCTCATAGGAGATAGCCGTATCGCGTGCACGAATGGCAGCAGAGATCTCACGAAATTCAGGACCTAGACTACTGAGTCTTTTGACGATGAGTTCAGGATTGGAAACAGGAGCACCAGCAGTGTCTAACTTATCTGAAAAGGACCGAATAGTGTGAAGATATTCAGTAATAGAGCGAGAGTCCTTAGTGACACGGGCAAGCTGATCACGCAAACTGAAGACTCGAGTTTGAGATTTGTTCGCATAAGTGGTATGCAAAGCATCCCAAGCTGATTTAGCTGAGTCAGTAGCAACAACAGTAGAGGCAATAGTGGGTTCGATAGAAGCCATGAGGGCATTCTGGATGAGTTGGTCCTGACGGAACCAAGGTAAGAAGGCAGGATTAAGAGATATATTTGTGCCGAGAGTAATCGTGCGACAGGGGGATGGAGTGGTTCCATCGAGATGGCCAAAAAGGTTGTAGCCATACATAAGCATGGAAAATTGGGCTTTCCAGGTGGCGAAGTTGTGACCACCGCTTAGTTTGATAGGTAATTGGGATGCAGGATTGAATTGAATGATAATATTGGTACCCGTTATGTTATCAACATTGACAACTCTGGGATTGTTGCCATTGTTGTTACCATTGTGATTGGTCATTGTTGCTGATCTGCGTGAGGAGGAGAAAAAAAAAATTGATCGTACTCGTTAGAGTGTGAAAAGCCCTGATACCATATAAAGACTGAATGTGTGCTGAAAAGAGTATATTTATTAATGAAGGCAGCAAGGTATTGAATAGAGTTACAGGAAAAATAATAAGACTCCTAAACGAACTGAACTAAAGTAATCTAAATAAATAATAACTGCTGAATTAGTAATGCAATCCTAATACGATTAAACTACTGATCCTAATACGACTAAGCTACTGAGTGATGTCCTCGCGTCATATGTTCTAATAGATACTATACTCAGTATAGTTACCATTCTTACCGCATGAAACGTATTTTAAATTATGCAGCTGCACTACTATATTGAGAACGTGTATATGCAAAAACAGAATGATCAATAGCCACTTTTGAATAGTCATGGCCATGGCTGTTTGAGTTATAATTACAAGTTGTAGGCTAATAGTAGCAAGTAATTTGTTCACAAGCTCGATCGCCTTAGAATTGCAAGAGCTCGAATGAGTAAATAGAGCTAGAGAAAACGTATGTTATAGTAACACTCTTTATATTATTGGATTTGATTCAAAATTTAAACAAAAAAAAAAAAAAAAAACTTGTAGAACTGATCTTCATCAGACAAGATAGAATAGAATAGAAAATGTCAGACAAGAAGACTCCATCTGTCAGTGCCGTACGCATGAGTGTCTACATCTACATACATTTAGAGAAGAGAGAATCGATGAACAAATTGGAGGGAATAATGAATAATTTTTTATACTTTTGAATTTTATATTAAGATTGAATAATCCGATTCATACTTGGTTTCAAGTAATTTCATGTCTAGCTTGACTGGTTTGTTTGTTTATTAGTAAGAGACGTGTTGGATGGGGGTTCGATCGAGTCTCACTCAGAAATGTTGTAATTTCTGGCAACGACTCTTACAAAAGAATTTTAAGAAAATGCTCAAGTTCATTGCACTGGATCATTTATATTAGAGAAACTTTCACATATAACAAACAAAAAAATCATATTTGTATGTTATAGCAAAGTTTGCATAATTGCGCTCCATAGCAAACATATATATGTATAATTCGCTATACATATATACAAAAAGAAGCAATTGTATAATTCGTTGGATCCTCTTCAGAATTATATAATTTCGCTTGCAGGCCATTTGTATAAATTGTTGTTAGCCTCTCGTTTGTATAAATCGTTGACAAACATAAATTATACATTATACAAACATAAAACTGGGCAGGGGAATATTTTTATTGTATAATTATAAGTGTATAGGACGAATATATATGTATTTGCATGTGCATATACAATTTTCT